CCATGGATACAGTTGAAGTTCTTTCGATAAGGGTGAAGTGGGGTCATAAGCGCTTTCTTCTTCTTCTGGAAGGTTATCACCTGGTATTACAATGTTTCCGCTAGTGCGAATGTTGTTCGGGGCTCAAGCCTCCGAACATCGGGTTGTCGCACAAGCGAACTCTCAAAACAGGACAAGATGAAAAGGTGAACACAAGCAGAACAAGGTGATAGATTTTACTCAACTCGTATTCTCCCCCTTTTACATCACCCACTTGGGGGTTATTTATACATGCCCATAGATTTTTTGCGGGACAATAATACCCCTGCAACTACTACACATTCAGAGAATATTCCCTATCGCCATGGGCTTGTTCGCCATTTGCAGTCCCCGCCTACCCCAGGTAGCGCCGACCTGGGGAGGGCCGACCGGCCCTGCCTCTTGTCGCCCTTCCGACCAACCGAGTGGGCTCCTGGTGAACAGACATTGTCAGCCACCTTGAAGCGGTTGACACCTTCGATCGGTGAAACCTGCAATGACTGTCAGATGAGCCCACTCCAGCTATTCGTCTAAGCGAATGGCCACCAGCTATTCGCCTAAGCAAATAGTCTAACTCTGACCTCACCCCTGGCCGTGTAAGTACAAGCCAAGTCCTTCCTTCCACCACGGCGTGAGGGGAGGGCTCGGACGAGAACCGGAACTGTCGTATCGCAATGACGAAACGGCCGGCGCCGCGCTCATTTCGCTTGGGCGAGATGAGAAACTCGTTCCATAGGTTCCCTTCATTCTGCTGCACCGTGCTTGCCTTCTCGTATTAAGCGGAATCCTTGGCGCATCGACGTGTCAAGGCCGCTCAGGCTCACCGCTCATCATTTCGCCAGCGCGAAATGATATCAACACCGCGCTTGGCATGGGTGGGGCGGCGAATGAGTTCCATGGGGTACCCAGAGGTGGGGGCATGCCCCCAACACCTGGTCTTCGATCACTGCGGTTTCTGGTGTTGGCATCGGCCGACGTGGGCACTGGATTGAGGTACGCATCAGAATCCTTCCTATTGGATCCTCCTAGTGCTAGCATTGTGTTCATGGTCGATAGTGCCTCCGGCTAGTCGTTGGGTTCGGTGATGAATTCGAGCACTGTCTTGCCACTTCCACGGCACTTTGAGTGCTATTGGTCACAGTCATGGCCCTGGGGCTGTGCTATCGGGAACTCGTCGGAGTGCGGGTTTCTCTGTGGGTCAAGAAATGACTGACGTGGCCCCTACCACATTGTACTTGCGTTGAGCCTCAGCATGCTCGCCCCACCTGACCTTTCGGTGAAAGTGCGCGACACGAGTGTCTACATGTCGATCATTGAAGCCACATATGCAGGCTTTCAAGTAGATTGGTCCCTTCTCTCATCAAATTACTATAATATCCATTTGCAATTAATATTGCTCTGTTCGTTTTGTTGAAATTTGGTCTATGCTGATTTGTTGTGAGTGTAAAACACTGTTCATTCACTGAAAAGTACTGCTGAAGTAGTTCAAGCGAACAGAGCATGACCCGCATATACATCATATACATACATATATTATTACTTGTACACAAATGTTTTTTTCATGAGAAAGTAGTGCATTTCAAAACTGAAATTACTTATCCTCAGGTTAGACATGTGGAGTACAGGCAACCATCTAGAGCAGCTGCAAGTATAATGATCAGACTGATTCATATAAAATTATGGATTCAAAATTAATTTTGTAAAATAACTACTAAATAAACCAAACACTATGCCTGAATCCAGCTGAACATATATCTTGTCATGTGGAAAACACTGTGTTGGTGGGTTCCTACACAAGCACCGGAAGAATTGTGCAACGTATCCCCACTCCAACGCACAAGGAAATCAACATGTTTGTGATTCCTTGGTTCCTGGGAACAAACCAAAGGACAAGCACGACTAGATCAAAGTCAATGTTGATCGAGCTTTCAAGATTCAGTTAGGAGAGGGGGAGCAATTGGCGTCATTATTAGGGATGAAAACGGATCGGATACGAACGGATATCACTGATATTATATTTGTTTTCATATTTCAGTCCGGATTCGGATTCGAATGCGGATAGTATCAATCATGTCAGATAGGATACGAATGGATATCGACATCAGAAATATGCGATTTTAGTATTTGGACACGGATGCGGTATCGGATGTTGAATATCATGATTCGGATACGGACAGATCTAAACCCTTCTAAACGAATTCGATCTCGAATATGATCGAAAAATATCTGTACCGTTTTCATCCCTAGTCATTATCCATGATTACTATGGACAACTCCAACTGACGGGATCGAGATTTTTTTGTTTCAGGTTTGTTCCTTTTGTGGTCTGAGTACAAACTAAGGAAAATGCTAACATGAAAGCTATGCATAAGCTGAAGGAGAAGATTTGTTGTTTGTTGGATGTTTGTTTGCTTCTCTGAACTTTGTAGGACTGCTACAGAATTTGGTACTGATGATTGGGCTGGTCCGTGGCCCATTACCATCTAAGTCGCGCCCAGCGAAACAGGGTTTTTGTAGGTAGTGGGCCCCCCAGCAAGGTTGTAGGCCATTGCAGGAGCCTCCTCCTCGTTGTAAGCTCCCAGATAGACTGTTCATGATCAAGGTTTGATCAGATCATCTGCTATCTTTTTTTTTTCCTGAAACTGAAAGGAACCCCTGATGATCCAGAGCACCTACTTCTTCCGCGGTGTCGGATTCCACGAGTTCTTTGTCCTATAGATGCTCTTCAAAACGAAGCATATTCTGACGCTGGTAAACTGTGGAGCTTGTGAAGCGCATCACACGTCAATTGGAAAGAAGCATAAGTGTCTCAGTGATTGTCGGAGTTTTGAAAACCGACAAGTAAATTTTTCATCGTGCTGCTCAAGAGAGTCGATAGCTAGCAATAAGGACACAGAGAAATTATACTGGTTCGGAACGAGGCCCTACATCTAGTGCCGGGGACTTGCGAGTACGTGTTCCTCAATATCAAAGTACTCGAAACAGCTTACAACAGGAGGTATGCAAGTTAGGGTTCTACTAGTAGAAGAGATTCGAGGTAGAGGAAAATCTCGAACCTCCTCTGGAAGAGGGTCTGGCCCCTTCTATAGCCATGGGGCCAGGTTACATGCACAAATGTTGGGTTCTACCGGCCCGAGTGACCAGAAGCCCAAGGGAGGGAGAAGCTAGTTTGCTGGGTTGGCAAGCCTGCCGATTTTGTCAGCACGTCCGGGTATGGTCGTCGTGAGCTTGCTCCTTACGCCAAGGCATGGCGTACGGCGTCGACATTATTCCGACCATGGCGGTGCCATGGGAGTGGTGGTTGTTCACCAACTCCCCCGCTCGACATGGGTTCGTCATGGTGCGTCCGTTTCTTCGGGGAGAAGTGGTGATGTCATCATACGGGGGAGAGTGGCTATCCCATCGTGGGTTGCCTGCTCTTCGGGGTCGCGGCCCTGCTGCCCCAGTCTCTTGTGGCTGGGTCGGGGGCATAGGATCCGGTCAGAATGGGAGAGATGGCTCCCGGTCGTGATTCCCATGCCGTAGTGGTTGGGATCGTACGCCTGTGCATTAGGCTGGACGGGTTTTGGGCGGTGCTGTGTCACGCGGGGTAATGCAGCTGAGTCCTGGTGTTGTCTTATCTGTCAGCGAGGCGCTGACCGAGGTGATTGACACTTTATCCTAGGGCCTGGCGGCCTGACGAAGCGGTCGTCCTCCCCGTATCCAATGGAGTGCGTGTGAGCGTCCTGTCCGGGCAGATGTACCTGACGCGTCTGTCTACCTCTCGTCCTTTACTTAGCGGCTAAGGCAGGAGGTGGTCGAGGGCACCGCCTGGTGCAGGGTCGAGAGGTGGGAGAGGTCGTGGCGGGCCTCGTACGGCTCGAGGGTGAGAAGTGGTTTCGCTGAGCTATGATCAGTCGGACTGTCATGGGTGACTCTCTATCCGTGTCTTGGGGTTACCCCGTTTTCATGCCCCCGACAGTGATCCATCAATAATTTCAAAACAATGCATGTATATGACGTTGACCTGATTATGAGCATTGGTGGAGTACATGACCATGTAACACGTACGAATGCTATAAAGATGTAATATTCACATTGTAATTTTTACCTGAAATACATAAGGCACGCTGGCTGTTTCGAAATTTGTTATGCAAGGTTGTTTGCGCCGAAAATAATTACACTACTATGTGATTGTTTCTCATAATGATTTACAAAAATCTAGATTGTCAAGATAATATGCAGAAATTAACCAGAAGAATATGAGAGGATGTAAGACGAGAGAAACTCTTGTGGTATTTAAATTCAAAGGCTAAAGTTTATGGTGTCGTATAGGGCTGTCACATCGAGTGTTCGGATAGTAATAATAAAATAAATTACATAAGTTCTCAGTAATCCGCGAGACGAATTTATTAAGGCTAAGTAATCCATCATTAGCGCATATTTACTATAGCACCACATTGTCAAATCATGGACTAATTAGACTTAAAGAATTCGTCTCACAAGTTAGTTTCAATCTATGCATTTAGTTTCGTAATTAGTCTATACTTAATACTTTATGCATGTGTCAAAAATCCCATGTGATTATAGGGGCTAAAGTGCAGGAGTGGGAAATAAATACAGCCTCTGAACAGCAGCCCTGTAGTATGCTTCTCTTGGAAGTCTTCCCGTGCGTGCAGGCCTCTAAACAGCAGCCCTGTAGAGCATCTCAGTGAGTGAGATGATTTGGCATCAGGTGCCCACAGCGTCGAGTGGGAATTTATTATTTCCGACGAGAGTCGCTTTGCACGCGCACGCCGCCTGCATCTTCTTCTTCACCATCTACGGCTGGGGTCGCCGTCAGGAGCAGCACTTCTGGTATGCGCATCCGATCCCCTTCCTTTCTCCTCCTCCGCCCCCTTCCTTCCTCCCGCGGATCGAGCCTTTAACCTCTCTCCGTCCTCTGTATCTGTTCGCAGCTAGCGCAGGTGGCAGGTCCCCCTCCCTCGCCTCCGCCCGCGGCGATGCCGGGTGGTTCCAGCTCGAAGAAGAGGAGCCGGAGGAGGCGCAAGCGCAAGCGGAAGCCGAACCCCGCGACGCAGCTCACCGACGACCTCCTCGTCGACATCCTCTCGCGCGTGCCGTACAGGTCCCTCTGCCGCTTCCGGTGCGTCTCCACTTGCTGGCGCGCGCTAATCTCCCACCCCGACTACAGGCAGGGCCGAGCCGGTAAAAATCGAGGCCATGTACCAAACTCTAAAATGAGGCTACCTTCTAAAAAATATGACCGTAAATAAGATATATGATACATATCACACTAAGATATATCAAAAACCATACTTATTCAACTTTTGCTTTCATAATCTTTAATTGAAGTACTTCATTCTTTTAGTGTTCCTTGAAATAAAATCTTCAATGATATACGCTCATAATCAATCTTCTCCAGCAATCCACTCTCAAGTGCTATTGTAGCCAAATCATTAAGTATTTGTTGTGTCATTGTCGAACGCAAATATGACTTCAATAGTTTCAATTTAGAAAAGCTTCGCTCTACCGATGCAACGGTCACAGGAATGGTCAACAGAACTCTATATGCAATACTTGCATTGGGAAAACAGTATGCCACTTTAGGAACTTTAGAATTTCAACAGGACCCATATTTTCTTTAAGAATGAAATCTTGAAGAAATTTCAACTCCATATATAATTCATTGGCATTAACATCAGATTTTCCGTCTTTTGTAAGGACAGCCCCAAGATTATCACAAGAAGATTTCATTGCCAATCCCTATCACAATGCTCTCCATTTGATAAAATTCTTGTATAAAATAGTGCAGAAAACCTTCTAGCATATCTATCCTTAGGACCTTTCTGAATTGATAAATCTCTTGTGGGGCCCTTCTCTGCTAAAATATCAATTTGTTTATGATCAAGGAATCCCAATATCTAGGATCAAATATATCGGGCGAAAGGAATCATTAACATCCGCAATTGGTGAAGTACTATTGGCCCCAATGTTATCGACATTGTTATCCATTTCAATGTTTATGTTATCAATAAAAACTTCCTCAACCCCAACAATATTTTCTCGTCTCCATCCCACCATCTCTAGGATCATTGTCATCATTATTGGTGGACACTTGTGACTCTTTTCTAACAAATTTATCCATAGCCCCTTTTGAGATTGAGTTAAATCCTCTATTCTTTGTTTTTTCTTACGCTTTTGGTAACCAGATTCATACTTTCTAGACCGATTTGCAGAAGACATGACTACAATCTTGTATCGAAACACTAGATAATCTAGAACCAGAACAAATATAACTAAACACCTAGATGGATCAATATTATATTAGTCATTATCCATCAATGTTGATTAAAATATTGAAAATTAATTGCATCAGAAATCAGATTAGTATACCGATATGCTGCGAGGCGCGAGACACGAGATGGACTGACGGATCACCGATCACGGACGAGACGGGATCTACGAGACTGCGATGTGCGCGAAGTGCGATGGAGTCCTGCCGTCCTGGTGTCCTGCGGTCTGCAGATGCGTCCTGGATGCCGATGCGGCGCCTGGCGGCTGCCGCATGATGAACTGATGATGCGGCTGCGCATGCTGTACCGTCATGCAGTACACATGCTGCGATGCGAGACAAATGAGAGGGCCAGAGGGCAGGGCATGCCGCTTGGCGCTTGGGGGGGGGGCTGGGGCCTTGGGCCTGGCCGCTTCTTTGCTGCCTGACGCCATGTGCCATCGATTGGGCCTACTATACACCTACAGGCCTGTACAGGACATGTACATCTATACCTATACTACACCTGACTGGTTGATGGGCCCCTCCTATTTGGGGGCCCTGTTCGACCGAACCGGCCGCACGTGCTTGTGCTTGGCCCTGACTACAGGAGGAGGCTCCCCCAGACACTTGCCGGCTTCTTCCACCCAATCCCCATCGCCGCCCTTGACGACGGCGGCTCCTCGGACTCGGAATCGACGCCGGTTCGCTACTACTTCACCAACGTGTCTGGGACCGGCCGCCCGCTCGTCGACCCTTCATTCCCGTTCCTGCCCCGCCGCGACCGGGACGTCGACCTGGTGGACAGCTGCAACGGCCTCCTCCTCTGCGTCAGCTTCACGGACACCGAGGAGGACGAGTTCGACGACCTCGACAGCTACCTCAGGTACAGGTGCAAATACCTCGTCGTTAATCCTGCTACCAAGGAGTGGGTCGCTGTGCCAGACTCATCGCAGAGTAGGATGCGGTCGGTTCGCCTGGGGTTCGACCCGACGTTCTCCTCCCACTTCTACATCTTTGAGTTTCAGTTGTTTGTGGATGATGAAGATGTGGCTTGTGCGGGTAGCCATGCCCAAGGGGTGGAGATATACTCATCTGAAACCGGAGTTTGGTGCCACAAGCAGACTGCCTGGAGCTCTAAGATTACACCACAGCCTGGTTTTAAGAGTGTGTTTGTCAATGGTGTGCTGTATGTGATAGCCACTGAGTGGGTAATTGGGGGAAACTTGGAGGATCATTAATTTTCCACCTTTGAAGGATCCACCATGGCATGGTACTGGTTCTGGATTCATTGATCTCTCCCAGGGGAGATTGCATCTTGCAAATAATGATGATATGGCCAGTGGTAAGCTAGCAATCAGGGGAGACAGCAATGAATGGACCTTAAAGCACAGAGTCTCCTATAAGCATCTGGTCGGAATGGAGTATGTCTTCTTTGGATCTCATGAGTTTTTTATTGTTGCTATCCACCCAGACTGCAACATGGTATTCTTTGTTTTTGGTCATGATGAAAAAACACTAATGTCTTATGACATGGATAGCGGGAGTCTGCATGTCATCCGTAATGTCATCCGTAATTTTGATTACACTGCCTCCGAAAACTCTGAATGTTTTCTACCATATGTTCCCTTATTTTCAAAGTCATTGCCAGATGCTGCGGAACAGTAAGCTGATTTTCTCAGCCCGCTCAACCTCTGCTGATGTTTTGGAGCATGGTCTTCAATCGCTGCAACAGCTACTACTTGTATACATCTTTCTGATGTTGTACTTTTTTTTTTTGGTTCATCCTTGAGGACTGCACTGCGAACATCTTTCTACATCGACTGCGGTCCACGACTTTAAGCAACGCACTATGTCGACTAATGCGAATGGAGCCTTCAATGCCCTCGGCATGGGACCCTCCGCTGGGTACATTCTTATCTTTGTAATTGCCGCATTTTGCGTTCTTACTGTATCGATCTGTATGTCATAACTGCATGCTGTAGCGTTCGTTAGTGATATACACATGCACATATATGTCTGCTCGTGCACGTATGTCTTTTTCCTGGTGATCGCTCTCGGAACCCGTTTTCTTTCCGGTGATTGCTTGCGGAACAACAAGGCGTCTTCTTCCTGGTAACCGTTCGTGGGATTGCACTGTGAACATCTTCCTGCATCGACTGCGGTCCACGACTTCGAGCAACGCGCTATGTCGACTAGTGCGAATGGAGCCTCCGATGTCCTCGGCATGGGACCCTCCGCTGGGTACATTCTTATCTTTGTAATTACCGCATTTTGCGTTCTTACTGTATCGATCTGTATGTCATGCCTGCATGCTGTAACGTTCGTTAGTGATATACATATGCACATATATGTCGTCACAAACCTGCTGATGTCATATTTCTGGATTAAATTGATAATGAAAATGCCTAATTATCTAACATGTAATACACGCCAATTGTATTCCACACCAAACATTTCAATGTAAAAAATATTGATCATTAATGCAGCATTACTAACTAACAAAATGAGGCATTTAAGTAGTTAGATAAATTTTGAACAAATAAGTCCCAGTGAAGATATACAAAAGAATCCTAACTCAATAAAGTAAAAGAGATAAAAAAGGTACACCTAGAAGTCGAGCTATCACTGTTCCCCATGGGTCAATAATTATAGAATCACCATAGCTTTCTCTTTTTTCATTGTGCTTTCCAGCTTTTTTTTATGAAAGACACACACACACACACATATATATATATATATATATATATATATATATATATATATATATATTATAGTGCAGCCAAATTACAACGAGATCCTCAGAGAGGACCAAAATACATCAAGGCGGCGCTTAGCGACCGGAAGGACACGTACACAACTACACGGCATAGCAGAGGACACGTGTTTTCCACATGACATGAACGGCAAAGAACGACGCCGAGAAGATTGCTGGCGGGGGTCTCCAGGCGGGACCGCGCATGGAAATCGGATGGATTGATTTTGGAAAGCGACGGTTTGAAGTGGTTGAGGAAGCCAAAGAAGGGTCGTTGTCTCGCCAAACCAAAGATGAAGTTGGAGCTATCGACGGAGGATAATAGAACAACTTCCTCAGAGGCGGCGGATGGCGACCTACAGGGCGTGTGGTGACGTGATCGACGAAGGCCTGATGACACTCGACACAGGGTTGCACGAGGGTAGCAAGTGGAGTTGGAGGAGTCGGATGAAGCGGCAAGGGGCGGGGAAGACCTGAGAGCTGGCACCGAAGACTAGATCCACCCAGTAGGAGACCCGATCCAAGCCCAACCATCAAATCGGCCACAGCCATTAAATCGGCCATGAACCTAGATGAACTGAGGGCGACAGCGATGGAGCACAAGCAGCCATGGGCGGAGAAGAACTACTTGAGAGAGCAGACCTATGTTATTTCTACTTACTTTGGAAGCGACGCCGTCAACGACGACGAAGACGCCGAGGAAGACCATGGCGATGGCGGCAGTGACATCAAGACAGGACTTTCCCCGAGGGGAGACACCCATCCGGGCAACCTACAAGTACTGGCTACTAACTACTAGATGGGTCCCCTCTCCTAGACCTCTCCAGCGAGCTCGCCGGAGGCGAGAGGGAGGGGGCCGGCTGGATCTCGCTGGGGTGCTAAAGGAGGAGGAAGACATGAAACCTTCGCCGAACTTATCGAGATCATAAAAGTCCATGTTTGTGCTTCCTAGCTTGAGCAGCAGCAATAACCTACAAATGGCGGTTTCAAACACGGCGTCATGTTTTAAAAGGGATTAGTTATTCTTTCGTGCGCCTGGTTTGTTGGTTCTCCTCAGGCGACAAACCTAGACCGTTGGATGAGAAAGGAGTAGTCCAGGGTAGACTCACGATGTTCCTCTTTGTAGGGTTGAGATGGTGGATTAGAGAGGGGATGAATAGTCCTTTCTAAAATTATTCACACCGACTAACCAAAACAAATGCGGAATTAAAACTACCGGTCTAGCTAAGACTACACCCCTCTATCTAAGTTATCAAGCACCTTAAATGATCATAATTAGGCAACTAAGGTGCCCACCTAATCAATTTTAGGAGCAAGGTCACACAAACCTATGCCACTAGTACTTCAAGCAACGGGGGAGCTCCTACACATGCTAGTAAGCAAAAGCTCAATAATAAGGCTACACAAACCAAATTATAGAGTGCAAATTACTTAGCTAAACAAACTATGCAATGTGACTAACAAAGTTACTCAAACCGAATTAGTTATGCAAGGGAGCTACTTCTATGCTACACAAGCAAGAAGGTAACTAGCAAGCTATACAAGCTAACTAATTACAAGAGCAACTACACAAGCACAATGTATACGAAAGTAAATACAAGCTTATGTAAAGAGGATGCAAACCAACGGGAAGACAATGATGACACGGTGATTTTATCCCGAGGTTTACGTGCTTGCCAACACGCTAGTCCCCGTTGTGTCGACCACTCACTTGGTAGTTCGGCGGCTAATTGGTATCACCCACCAAGCCCGCATGTCGAGCACCGCAAGAACCTACCCCAAAAGTGAGGGTAGCTCAATGACACGCTCTACTAGAGTTGCTCTTCGCGATCCCCGCGGGGTGAGCACAATGCCTGTCATAAATTCTTCTCCGGAGCACCGCACAATCTTCTCGCGTGCTTCAACGGAGTCACAAGCCACCAAGCCATCTAGGAGGTGGCAACCTCCAAGAGTAACAAGCACCACCAGCTTGCAACTCGATCACCTAGTGCCACTCGATGCAATCGCACTAGAATCGCTCACTCACTCGATCGGATGAAAACTACCAAGCATGAGTGAGTTAGAGGGCTCCTAAGCACCACCACATAAGCCACCAAGGCTCTAGTGTGCTCAGCAACCAACCCAAGGCCGAGCTCCACCTCTATTTATAGCCTCCAAGAGAGCCGTTGGAGCAAAGTTGCTGGTTTCTGCTAGGGCACTGGACACGGTGGTGCCCGCCCAATGGTCGAATTCCAACGGCTATTTCAACTAGCCATTGGTCACCGGACAGGGTGGCGGTGGCACCTCCCTAGGGGTGGCAGTGACCACCCAGCCAAACACCCAATAAACCACCTCTCTGGGAAAGAGTGGCGGTGCACCGCCCTAGGGACGGCGCTGTCCGACTTGACAACCCTGCTCTCTGCCAAAAAGTGGCGGTGCCACGATGGTGCACTGGACACCCCATGGCGGTGCCATCGCCTTGCACATGGCGGTGCACACCGGACATGGCGGTGCCCCAGTTCTTCTGCGCGCTCTCAACCACGGCCAAACGGTCACCGCCACCGGGGTGACGGTGCGCCAGACAGGTAGGGGCGGTGCCCCTAGGGCAGCACCCCGAGCCCGGTTTCGCCTCCATTTCTTCACCTTTGCCAACACCTTTGCAAATGTGCTAACACCACCAAGTGTTTACCACCTTGTGCATGTGTGTTAGCTTTTCATAAATATTTCCCAAAAGATTAGTCACTCAATTCACCACGCCACTCGATCCTAGCAACGATGCAAAGTTAGATCACTCGAGTGGCACTAGATGACCGATATGCAAACAAGTTTGTTCCTCTTGATAGTACAACCATCTATCCTAAACCCAATCATAAACTTCTCTACACACCTATAACTGGTGAAATGAAATGCCCTATAGTTATACCTTTGCCTTGTGCATTCCATTCTATCTCCTCCGATGTTGGTGCAACACATGCACCAACACTATCAACAATGATACGATCCACTCCATATCATCACATGACCATATTGGTTCATCGATCTTGACCTCACTTGCTCTTCACCATTGCTTCGGTCCATCGGCGCTAAGTCATCACTCAACTTGCCCTTCACACTTGCAACCGGTCCGTCGAGCCAAGTCTTGTCTTATCTTCTCCACCTTGATCACATGACTCAATGTCATGTCTCATATGCAATGAGCTCCTTCATCACATTTGTGAGCCTTGCCAACAAATCTAAGCCATCTTCACCATCATGACATGAGTTGCTCACACAAGTGTACCTGTGGACTAATCACCTGTTGTCACGTTCATAAACCTAGGGTCCCCGATGGGCCCGCTTCCTAGCAAAAGCTCGGCCTAGCAGATGGCATTACAACAAACGCGTGACTCCTGGGCCGGCCCAGATACCTAACGACAAGCCAGAAGAGCGATCCAGTCTCCGACCGGAAGGCCTGACCAAGGAGGGGACAACACTCGCTTCTGACTCCGACCCGCTTTTTCAACCGGG